AGGCCGTTTTCAGGCCGTTTTTCCAAAAATGCGTGTGCATGTGCACTGGCCAGCTGGTCTTCAGGTTGCTAGTACTCCGGCACGCACACATGCACACACGTTCCGGTTTGGGAACTCGGTGCCGAAAAGGTTTGCCATCACTGGCTTAGTGCAATGTGTGAACCCTGCTTTCTTCTTTCAGTGCAGCCAAGAAAGAAATATGACCCCCGTATGTTAATATACCTTGTGCAATTCAACGTTTTTTTAGGCTACCGCCCAAGGGCAAGTTGTTATTATAGGGTTAGTTCATGGTCTCAGTTTCAACAGGTTGTATATTCAATACCATTTTCAGTTAAAAGGAACAAAAGGTTCTGGACACTATCTGTATTCTAAAAAGACTAATAACAGTACACTGAGCATCTTAGAGCAATATAAATACCACCATCTCAATTCATAATATAAATAATCCTCAATTTACAATCATAACTGGAAGTGGAACTTCTATCACTAAGCAATGTAGTTTTTAAGTGAGTCTTGTCCTCTTTTGCCAGGGTCATTAAGTAACTCCCTTGGTTGTTAAGCAAATTCGGTTTTCCCCATTGACATTTCTTTTGGAAGCCCCCTGAAAAGATAGCAACTGGTGATTGTATGACCCAAGATGCTGCAACCATCATAAATACATGCCAATTACCAAGTGAATTTTGATCACATGAATTCAGGGTCAATTTTTTCAGTGCCATCGTAACTTTGAATGGTAATTAAACGATTGGTTGTAAGTTGAAGACTATTTGCACTTTCCACATTTATAGCAATTGGTGTTCTGATGCAAAGAAAATTAAGCAGTATAGGAAGAAAAACAGAATCCTTAAGCCAGAGATGTCAAACTCAAGGCCCGCGGGCCTGATACGGCCTGTGATGTGGTTGGATCCGGCCTGTGGGGCCATCCTAGAAAATGTAAGGGGCCGGCCCACATCGCTTCACCCCAGTCTACCCAATGTGAACAGGAAACATTGGGGCAGCGTGGCTTCAGCCCGGTCTACCCAATGCAAAGAGGAAACATACCAGCAGTTTGGGGAGTGGCGTCAAGCTGGCTACATCCACCCAGCTGGCCACACCCACCCAATCAGCACATCCAGTGAGTGGCGTCAAGCTGGGTGGGAATGACCCCAGCCTCCCGAGGTCAACCACAGCCTTGATGCAGTCCTCAATGAAATTAAGTTTGACACCCCTGCCCTAAGCAGATAACTGTTTTGGTTTCAGTAAAGATAACATGTTAAGATGGGACTTTGAAGTGTTGGACATTTGAGGGAACCAGATAAAACTAAAACTTACTTAAAGAAGAAAAGCATTCAGATTAGACATGCTAATACAAAATGGAACAATATATTATAACAGTGGATGCTTTTATTGAGATTTATCATAGTCAAGACAGTGGGCAAACACTCTTACAGAAGTTACATCAGATAAAACTAAATATTGATTTGAATGTGGATTTAAATATGACAGGCTCTAAGAATGATATGCAAAAAAAATATATACACTGGATTAATATCGTGACATCTGAAAAGGACATACAAGTATTAATTCAGAAGAATAATACAGATATTTTTAACTGGATTTACAAAAGAGCTGTTAAAACTTTGAAGCATTTGCCAAGAGATGACAAAGAGAAGATAAAAACAAATCAGGATCAAGGACATTATTTAAAAAAAATTAAACCTAAGATCATTCAAAGTACAGGAAAGGAATTGAGAGTGGGTTTATTTGATCAAGCTTAAAATAGTTGTGCAGTTTTCTTTGGTAGTATTTAATGGATTTTTGTTAACTAGGAATGAATGATAAGAATTTAAGGCTTTGTTAATAGTTAAAGAGATGAGAACTGGGAAGAAATGTGCATTTGTTCTATCTTAAGAGATGGTGATAATTTAGTAGGTTTGATTAGTTTTTACTTTTCCAATTATAATCTTAATACAATTATTTGAAAAAAAATTGAAATGTTCTCTGAAGGCAGCCTCACCAGGACTCTGCAAATGTTACACTTTTTTAAGTAAGCGGGAAGGAAATATTGAGAACAAACAAACCGATGGGAGCCATTTTGCATGTTGTCATCACCTATTTTAACTGTGAATACAGCACATAGTTGTTTGCAAACATGGGTGTAAAGAAAGGTATACTAATTAGAAATCTGAGACTCTGAGGCTCCCAAGAGAATGTACACTTGGTGAAAAATGTTTGTATCATGTGATTAATCTGTAAATCTACAAAATTTGGACAAAATTATATTATTATGGAAAAAAAACTCTAATTGTGCAAAGGAGAAACCTACTTTTTGTTGACTTCCTATTCAATAAACTCCCCAAAAAGTTGGGAAACTGGTGCGGAATAAAGTTAACATTGTTCAGAGAAAATCAGGCATCCAGCTTTCAAGCAGAGAAGCGTTTATCACTTGGTGCAACAGCAGTTTTAGATTCAAGCCATTTACTTGATGTTCTCTGGAAGTCTACATTATTGTCCTTGAGGAATTAGTGAGCAAAGTGAATTATGCAGTATTTTGCCATTTGGCTTTCACATGCTATATATATTGAAGCAGAATGTAATGATAGCATCTATTCTATTTTCACTTTTTATTTATACTTTTCATCAAAAGAGGTAACTTGTCTTTCAAATGTTTTCTCTCAACTTGATAAGAAGGTAAAATAAAGAGATAAAAGTAGTAATATAGTTCCATCTCAAAAAGTCCTAGAAAATCTTTACAACAGCACAGTAGCCTTGAAAAACCACCACTGTAACATAAATCACTCATAGATGATACAAGTAGTCACCACAATTGGGATTAGGATTTCAATCACTAAGCGATGTGACATTGAACAAATATGGGCCTGATTCTATGAACATTTTTACAGTGGTCATTAAGTGAATTGCAATCACATGATCACATGGAGTAGTACAATAATTGTAATTTTGAAGACGGGTTGTAAGTCACTTTTTGCAGTGCCATTGTAACTCTGAATATTTATTAAATGATTGTAAATCAAGGACTATCCATAATGGGCTGGGAAATCATTAGAGGCAACCATATCCTAGAAGATCAAATATTCCTTAAAAATGAATTTCCTGAGCAGTACCTGCAATGGCAGAGACGATAATCTGACAGTCTTGCCTACTATTGCTAATCACCATTGGAATGTACAATTAACTCAAAACCTCATTCATTCATTGATTCATTCGTCCAATCAATTTGTATAGCCACTTGCAAAAAGCAGGCCATGTGTAATATTGCACACAGAAATAAATAGAAATATTGCACATAACAGACTATGGTGAAGAATAGTTCAAAGCAAAATTGGGATCAAGGTTTCTAAAATTATGGCTTACACCCCATTTTCTTTGAATCATAGAAACTACACTTGTTGCTTTGAGAGTACTGCATTTTGGAAGAATTTAAATTAAGCTACTATAATGATTCCTCCACAGCTATACTAGCGGGGGGAAGAACAAACTGAAATAATTTATTCTGGAACTGTTCAATTTTGTCTCTATTTAGAACATTCAAATAATTAGGTCTGAAATGCTCATTTTCCTAGGAGTAAGCTCCATTAAGCTCAAGGGAAGCCCTGACAGGCTTCAAATTGGTTCTAGTAAACATTTAATGTGCAGAGTTCTAGAATGTGTAATTAGGGGAAAACAAGGAAAAGGCTGTTTGGCTCAAGTTGAATTGTGGGCTCTTTATTTTTGATGTGTTTAAGTGCTCTGCAGTGCATTCTTTGGTTCTTTTCCACCAGCTTTCAGTAGTCTTGCTTTCTAGGTCTGGAACATAATGCTGAACTAAGCTTTACTTCGAAGAAAGAGTTGCCCTAAACTTCAATGAAAAGAAAAAGATTTGACTACCGTAAATCCATTTGAACCCATCTGAACTGGTGTTTTTTTTTTTTTTTTTTTTTGTGGGTAGAATTCCCCTGGGAATTAGCTAGCTTACTAGCAGATATACTATCATGCACTGAATTAAACTAAAGAAGTAGAAAACAAACAACTATGATTATTACACTTTTCTCAAATGGAGTAAACAAAAAAAAATTGTCATAATTTTATCTTTCATCAGACAAGATGAAAGTAATTCTCATCATCACAGCAATTAGTGGTAGTTCTGATATGTCTTATTGATGGCGCTCCACTTTAAAACAAATTCTAATTTTAATCTTTTTTAATTGATATGTTGTTTTAAATTGTGCTTTTAAAAGTACATACCAATACTCATTTTAGGAGTGAATAAGGGAAGTAAGCTAAACAGAAGTATATAAGCAGTACACAGAAAAACTGCCAAGTGTTCAATCTTGGCTCTTCAAAAGTTAAGCAAAGGAAAATGACAATATTAGGAATCTATTGTTCTAGGACAATACATTCCATTCTTAGTAAGTAAAGGTAGTCCTCCACTTATGACCATTCATTTAGTGACCAGCTGAAGTTATGAAACTGCTGGAAAAAGTGACTTATAACCACTCCTCGCACTTACGACCACTGTAGCGCTCTTCACAACTCAAGTGATTGGCCACCAGCATATAGACACGAAGGCTGTAATATCTCAGGGTCGTCTAATATTCAGATGCCGCAACTGGTCCATATCTACAAAAATCAGAAATGTGCAGGCTGTTTTTTCCTGTTATACCAAGATGGAAGCACTAGTTGGACTCTGTAGAAGAAGGATAGAAACAGTATTGCAGTTTGGAATCAACCCAGATCTTCAGTTAGGATTGAAATGACTAGGAGAAAATTATCATACTACAGATACATTATGTGAAAACCTGGCTCCCTAGAGAAGTCTATAATGCTGGGAAAGGGAAGGAGACAAAGACAAGCAACAATGTGAATTGATTTGATTACAGTATGATGGTATTTTCCCAGCCAGAATGAAATTGTGTGCAAAACTGTATTTGGGGGTTAGAAAGCCCTCCCTTTAAACTATCGGTGGTGGTGCAGTGGTTAGAATGCAGCACTGCAGGCTACTTCTGCTGATTGCTTGTTACCTGCAGTTTGGCAGTTCGATTCTCACTGGCTCAAGGTTGACTCAGCCTTCCATCCTTCCGAGGTCGGTAAAATGAAGATCCACATTGTTGGGGGCAAGATGCTGACTCTGTAAACCGCTTAGAGAGAAGGCTGCAAAGCACTGTAAAGCAGTAGATAAATGTAAGTATTATTGCTATTGCTATCCCTCCTTTTGGGTAGTGCACAAAGATTAAAATCAACAGTTACAAATAATAATTCCTGTTGCCTGGCAAAGAAACACATCAACAGCAGACTTCACCTAACCTCCTAGCCCAAATGCCCTGGAAAACAGCCAGGCCTTTAGAGCCAAATCCAAAAGGCTAAGGATTGGGTCCATCCAAATCTCGGGGGGAGGGGGAAAATTGACTTATAACAACTTTTCACACTTATGACTGTTGCAGCATCCCCATGGTTGCATGATTTACATTCAGATGCTTGACAACTGCTTCATATTTATGACAGTTGCAGTGTCCTGAGGTCATGTGATCATCTTTTGCGACATTCTGACGAGCAAAGTCAATGGGGAAGCCAGATTCACTTAACAACCGTGTCACTAATTTAACAACTGCAGTGACTCACTTAACCAAATGTGGCAAGAAAAGACGTAAAATGGGACAAACTCACCTAACAAATTTCTCATTTAGCAACATAAATTTTGGGCTCAATTGTGTACTGTTGTTAGCCAAAGTGACTCTATGGGAAAGCCTTTGGAGTTAAAATGTAAAGCCTATTACATTTTAGATTTATTTTTTGTGTGCCAAGAATGTCTGACTGGATCCTTTATCAAAGGTGAAGTTTTTGATACCTAGAAACATCTATTTCAATTGCTAAATGCTCACATTATCACCATGGCCATGTAAAATATCCATCGTATTTCCATTCTTGCTGAAATAAATCAAATACTGCAATTCCTGTCTAAAGCAATATTGTAGCACCTTTAATAGAAAAAAATACAAACCTAATTCATTTATTATCAGAAAGCTATTTGTTGCTTTGGAAAAAGACTGTATAGTTCAAGTCACTAATAATTCAGCGAATTTCCAAGAATCAAACCAATAGACTAAAGTATTTGTAAGCTTGCACAGTATTCTCTACCACCATATCCAAGATTACATTGTCACAATACAGATAGTCCTCAATTTACAGCTACTCATTTAGTGACTGTTCAAAGTTACAACAGCACTTCAAATAGTGATTTATGAACATTTTTTAGACTTCACTACCGTTGTAGCATCCCCATTGTCATGTGATCAAAATTTGGCAACTAGTTCATATTTATGATGGTTGCAATGTCCTGGGGTCTTGTGGTCACCTTCTGCAACCTTCTGATAAGCAAAGTCAATGGGGAAACCATACTTACTTAACAACATGTCTATGGAGATTCTCAGTCATCCAGGTCATGGTTGTCCCAAAGGTGCTTTTTCAAGAGGCAACTGGACTTTCTGGTTTTTCTTTGAAGACGTTTCGCTTCTCATCCAAGAAGCTTTTTCAGCTCTGAGCTAAAGAAGCTTCTTGGATGAGAAGCGAAACATCTTCAAAGAAAAACCAAAAAGTCCAGTTGCCTCTTGAAAAAGCACCTTTGGGGCACTTACTGTAACAACATGTTATGTGCAATGATTCATTTAACAACTGTGGCAAGAAAGGTTGTAAATGGGGCAAAACTCACATAACTGTTTTGCTTAATAATGAAAATTTTGGGGCTCAATTGTGCTCATAAGTCAAGGACTACCTGTATATATCATTTCTGGGAACAGAAAAAGTATGCAGTTTTAGGGATATGCATTTTATTTTGTATGTGGAGAACCCTATATTGAAGATAGTTATCCAGTATTTTAAAGAACAGAAGTCCCTGATTAAAAACATGCAGAAGACTCAGGAAATGGGTTTTTCCAGCATGCAGTCACAAAACCATCACCCTGTAATGGATCAATATTTGGAACAACAAAACCAACAGAAGAAAAAAATAAGCAGAGAAATTACTTTAAATATAGCTGGTATTATATATAACCAGTATATTTTTATTTATTTCACAAAACTGATCTTGCTTAAAATACCAAAATGAGGCCACCTTTTTGGTTTATTGTTGGCCAAAAACAAATCAGTTTTGGTACATTCCACTGGTAATAATTCTTAGTCCCTCAGAAAGGGTCCGCAATCTGGGGGTCCTCCTGGATTCACGGCTATCCCTAGAAGCTCATTTGACGGCCGTGACCAGGGGAGCCTTCGCACAGGTACGCCTTGTGCGCCAGTTGCGCCCTTTCCTAGATCGGGATGCCCTTGCCACAGTCACTCATGCCCTTGTTACATCTTGGTTGGACTACCGTAACACCCTCTACATGGGGCTGCCCTTGGGATGCACCCGGAGACTACAGTTAGTTCAGAATGCGGCCGCGTGGGTTGTTACGGGGGCTTCTCGGTACTCCCGTGTGACACCTCTCCTGCGCGAGCTGCACTGGCTGCCAGTGGCTCTCCGGGTTCATTTCAAGGTGCTGGTGCTCACCTATAAAACCCTACATGACTTAGGCTCGGGGTATCTGCAGGATCATTTCCTGCCTTCCTCCCACCATCCGGTGCGCTCACACAGAGCGGGCCTCCTCAGAGTGCCGTCAGCCAGACAATGTCGGCTGGCAGCCCCCAGGGGGAGAGCGTTCTCTGTGGGAACGCCGACCCTCTGGAATGAGCTGCCCACCGGCCTCAGGACAGCCCTGGACCTCCTCTCCTTCCGCCGCGAATTGAAGACGTGGCTTTTTCACCAAATGGGCTGAATCCATAGGGGTGACTTCAAATAATTTTAATAATTTTTAATTGATTTTAATTTAATTTTAAACTGATTTTAATTGCTTAGGTAATTCTTTGTTTTGTTTTTGTAAACCGCCCTGAGTCCTACGGGAGAAGGGCGGCATATAAATTACATACATACATATATACATACATACATAATCAACAGATTAACAAATGGACCAGATTCTGCATCTCTCCACATTCACACACTGTATTCTTATCCACCAGCAACCGGTATATGAAATATGTGGAAAATAGCGAATAATTTCTGAACTAATTCAGAGTAGAGCTGTTAATCACAAAAGTGTCTTTGTGCAATCACTGAATTTCTATGATAATTAAAAAAAATATAAAACACTGCAATAGCAAAGATCTATGCAAATACTACTATATACCTCAGTGCTATGATCCAAAGTGAAACATTTACTTAAGATGCCATAGAAAATTATTTCTGGGCAAAAAGTACTTTTGTTGGTTATAAGATAATGGATAGCAATGCAATGAACATTATGTTAACATGAAATGAACAAAAAAAGTGTTGTTTACGAGCATCACTGTTGCTCAAAGTATAATATTTGATTTTTTTGTCAATATTCTCAGGCTTATACTTACATTTTAACAACATAATTGCTTAGCAGTATGATACAGCGTACATTATTAATAACAAATCCAATGGCATTAAAATGTTGATTTCAGAGACATTGTGTTGTTTCTTCACTTTTTTTTTATTAACAACTCATTTGATCAAAAATGAAATTATATCTGAAGACAGGTAATATTTTGACATTTGTGAACAAATGAGAGGTATTGAGCAGATTTCTAAAGGATGTGTCTTCAAAAATACCTATTGATTCAACAAGCGATTATAAACTTGGATTCACCCAAACATTCCCCCACCCTGAAATTCAACAGAGTGAAAAATATGATAATTCAAAAGCTAAAACTACTGAATTACACAGATCAGTATTCTTCCGTTGTTACTGAAATCATAATGAAAGTGCTAAATCTAGAGGTTCACCAGCTATTGTTGAAAAAGAGATGAAGAGGAGATACTGAAACTTGGAAACGTTGAGAGATATTGAAGGAATGTTGTGAAATGAGATTCTTTTCAGCAACACTCTTGACTAAAGGCATATGCTAACTACAGGTAGTCCTCTACTTACGACAGTTCATTTAGTGACTGTTCAAAATTACAAGTCATCTGAAAAAAGTCACTTGTGACCATTTTTCATTTATGACCGTTACAGAGTCCCTATGGTCATGTGACCAAAATTCAGACGCTTGTCAACTGACTCATATTTATGATGGTTACGGAGTCCCGGGGTCATATGATCTGTTTTTGTGACCTTCTGATAAGCAAAGTCAACAGGGAAGCTAGAATCATTTAACACTGTGGCAAGAAAGATCATAAAATGGGGCAAAACTCACTTATCAAATGTATCACTTAGCAATAGAAATTATGGACTGAATTGTGGTCGTATGTCGAGGACCACCTATGTAAGATACTATCAAAGTAAGTCCTGGCATTGATGAAGGTGGCAGTGTTCATTCTAAAGAAATAAAAATGAAGTAGAGTTCAAGATGACAAAATAGTGATGACAAATAAGGCAATAATTGTCATTAAAGGTAAGGGTAAAGGTTCCCCCGCACATGCGTGCTAGTCATTTCCGGCACTAGGGGTGGTATTCATCTCCGTTTCTAAACCAAGAAGCCAGCGCTGTCTGAAGACGTCTCTGTGGTCATGTGGCTGGCATGACTAAACGCCGAAAGCGCACGGAGCACTGTTACCTTCCTACCAAAGTGGTCCCTATTTTTCTACTTGAATTTTTTACATGCTTTCGAACTGCTAGATTGGCAGAAGCTGGGACAAGTAACGGGAGCTCACTCCATTACGCAGCGCTAGGGATTTGAACTGCTGAACTGCCGACCTTCTGATCAATAAGCTCAGCATCTTAGCCACTGAGCCACCATGTCCCTTGTCCTAATTGTAGTTTCCTAATTGTCATTAATAAACTACAATTTTAGTCCCTTTTCAGGGGCTAAAATCGGTATTCAGTGGCTGAAATCTTCCCTGATAATCCAGACCAGGGCAAATTTAAGACAACTGACTTCTGATGACAATCATACTATAATGGAAAATCAGCTAGCAATTTTCTTAAATGTTGCTATGAAAATATCCACTATCTGAAGCTTGGTTTAACTCTTGCAGCTAGCAAGAAGTAGATGCAATTGACTGCCAGTCCTAATATAGTGGGCAATGCAACAAGGTATGGGCCACTTGTTTTAATGGCTGTGTCTGTGCATATTATATATCAAATTTTATGTTCATAATGGATAAAA